TATTATATTGCCATTGAGACAGTGACCAAGAGAAGGGCAGGAACTTTGTCCAGTTTGTCCATAGGAGCAAAGTGGTAATGGGGAGGAGAAGAGGAGTCCAGGGCTGACCCAAAAAAATTTTAATTTTAATTTAATTATGTTTGGCTTTGTCCCTGGGAATTGGAGCACAGTAATGCTAGAGGGAGAATAAAATACTTCCCTTTTCATTCATATGCAGTACTACTTCCAAAGGGAGCACATGACGTCTATCAGAAGGATAGAATTATTCATATGTTTCTGGTTATTTTTATTTCTAGCAGTCTATTTAGCTGGTGCTTTTTTGATAGATGATCTATTGCATAAACTCATCTGAATTCATATACAATTGTATAAAAAATAAAAATCTTCCACTGGAGCAGATGATACGTTTGTAGGAAAAATCCCTCATATTAGGTCATGTTTTTTATTACATCCTAATATGAATATATTTCAGTACAGTAAAGTAAGGTCCAGTAAAAGCAGCCTAATTTTCTCATGAATATTCTTAATAAAATCACTAATTAGCTTTACTTGAGAAAAATTACAATTCTTAGAGTCATTGAAATATACTTTGAAAATTTACATAAAATGAATTTTATAGAAATAGTGGCAATATCATGGCAAACCATTTACAATAACTTTAAAATATTTTAAAGTGAAATTTAAAAAATTCAAATGTCAAACAAAATTAAAAGTTCAAGAGAGGAGAGAGAATGCAATGAATTGTCTAAGAGTGTGACATTGTAGTCAGTTGTTCCATTCTATTCCAAAAAGGGAGATAATAGACCCAAAACCTTAGCAATTGGGCAACAGTTTTTAAACCAGAGTCAAAACTTCTGATTTTGTATCAGAGGTTCCCCCATTTTCACTTTCCTACTATTTGCACTTACTGTGGCTGCTGAATCCACACAGCGGAATCTTACTCTCAGCAAGCAGAATCACACTTCTGTGAAATGCAGGCGTTTAAAGACCCGGTTAATGGCTGATAATGGCAAGCCATTAAGTAGGTCTAGGTTGACTATTCGTTTTTCAATGTAGTGCCTTATTTGTTGTGCTAATGTTTAAAATCCTCATTTGAAAGTGTTCAGTG